AATTTGTGTTTTGGCCTAGTAAGAAATCTATTGTTTCCACCTTACCCCAATCTTTTAAACAACATTATCCAAACTGTAGGGTTATTATTGACTGTACAGAAATCAAAACTGAACAACCACCTCATGTTGATCAAAGAGCGTTTATGTACTCTCATTACAAATCTGCTTTTACTTGTAAATTTTTAGTTGGAATAGCTCCGTGTGGTATGATCATTTTTGTTTCAAAAGCATATGGTGGTAGAGCTAGTAATAGCTTCATCACTAATGATAGTGGTTTGTTAAACTTATTAGAACCTGGGGATCAAGTCATGGCTGACAAGGGGTTTCCTGGGATAAAAACTAGTGTAAATGAAAAAAACTCTATTTTAGTTATGCCCCCATTTATATTAATGGAGTTTTTACAGAAGATGAAATTATAAGAACCTATAATATTGCTAGTGTTCGAATACACGTTGAAAGATCTATTCAGAGAATAAAAATGTATAACATACTTCAGAAAATTCCCATTGAACTTTTGGAATGTATTGATAATATAATATTTGTGTGTTGTGTAATGACAAATTTACAGCCACCTTTAATTAAACCATACCCCTAATACATTAATCTATTTATTAAAATAATTGTATAATACCATTGATTTTATAAATAATATGTCATATAATCAATGATAATACTAACTTGTTTAATTATTATTTGAATGTGTTTTTTTTTAACTATGACTTATGACTTTTTGCTTTTTAATATTCTGTTATAAATTTTTTGTTTTAGTTAGGTAGGTACCTATTATAAATAAGGTAGCATGGTACTTACTATTTTATTTTATTATTATATAAATAAATATGTATGGATTATATTATTTTCCACTGAATAAATAAATGAAAATATATGATTTTTGTATTCATTTTAATATTTAGTTCAAGTGTCTTATTTGTGTTTAAACAATTTAAAATTAAAATACAAATCATTTATCATTTTTATATAAATAATACACCAATATAAATTTCTAAATTTAAACATTTAAACACTTAAAGTTTAACCTTCGAGCGGGCGCGCGGACGGTTTTTACACCGCACATTTGAAAATAATCGCGCCCATTCGTTATAAGTTTCATGCAGCGAACCTATCCATTAGGTAATCTCTAATTTCTTATCTAGTCATAAGATAAGGCAGTTGTTATAATTTTAGCAAAGATTCACATAAACATAAATTCAAATGAGGCTCTAAATTGTGCGGTGTTAATACCGTTGCGCGCCCGCGTGTGTAATTGCAAAATGCGCGCCCGCTCGAAGGTTAAGTTTAATTTTATTGATATCAAAACAACAACAAACATTACATTATAATATGGTATAAACATGTAGGTATATATTTTGAAAAGTTACATTTTTTTTGCACCAACATATAAAACCTTATAATCCAAAATGGATTGTTAATTGTTTTAAGTAATATTTAAAATAAAAATGATTCATTTTATAAATACAATCCTTTAAAAAAACACCATCTGTCTTTATATTAATTAAAATACATTCATACTTGCTTGAATAAATAAAAAGATCACAGTATTGCAAACCACAGCAGTACATCAAAACTTGGCACTGAGTATAGTAAATGTGGTTTTTTTTTAACATAATAACTCCATTACTATCTTTAATTAAATAATTTAAATTACATTCTCCTGCATCAGTAATAATTGGTTGATTAATGCAAGAAATGGGACATTTTATTTCCAACACTTTTATAGGTTTTCCATCAGACATTACAATTCCATCCGGACTTCCACACAACCAAGGATTTAAATGATTTATACTAAACCACATTCATAAACTTCAAGCTCATACATTTCTTTATACTTTTTAAGTGCAATTTTTTCATTTTCATTTCCATAGTTAACATTTTTTAGACCTTTGCCAAACATTGGCTTCTTATTTATTAAAGATATGCCGTCAACCGGGCCAACTTGGGGCGCGTGCTTAACTTGGGGCAAAAATATTATCTTTTAGTTTTACCTCCATAACGGTCTCTTATCAATTAATTGATGTGATACAAGTATTCTGTTGTTATCTTAGAAATATTTAAAATCATTTTACAAGTGTCGCAGCATCAAATTTTAAACGTAAGTATTAATTTTTATTAATTCTTTTTGTGTCTAATATCTATCGTTTTGAAAAGGTCCAAAAACTTACACTAATACTCATTGAATGAAACGCTTTACATAAAAATCAATAATAAAACATATGTTCGGATGCGTGTAAAATTTACTACTCCATAATCTAAATTATTATAATCCTGCATACATATCTGTAAATTACGTTTAACTCATTTAGTCCAAATTGGGGCATTGTTCTTCAACCCTGGTCCAAGTTATACCTAGGATCATTAAATTAAATTTAAACAAGACTAACTTAGCTAAAATTTAGTCTAAATACTACTTAGGTATATTTATATTTTTAACTATGTACAGATGGGTAGATGCCGGAAAAAAATTGGTGGACGAACATACAAAAATTTTTCTGATCATGATTTGCAAAGAGCTGTTGCTCTCGTTAAGAACGGTGTTTTAACTGAGCGTCAAGCAGCTGAACAATTTGGAATTCCAAAGTCTACAATTAATAGAAAGAGAAATAAGAAAAATTTGAAGCCTGTTGGGAGACCTTGTGTTTTATCTACAATAGAAGAATCTATGTTGTTGGACGGACTAGTTACAGCTGGGAAATGGGGATTCCCTTTGACATCAAAAGACATTGGTTTTATTGTAAAAAATTATTTAGACACTGAAGGCCGTAAAGAACAAAGGTTTAAAGATAATTTACCAGGTCAAGACTGGCTAAAATTGTTTTTACATAGGCATAATGATGTACTAACAGTTAAACTATGTGAAAACATAAAGCGAGCTCGGGTAGCAGTGAGTTGTGATACTATAAATTTATTTTTTGAAGAACTTACTAAAACAATTGAAGGTGTTGATCCGGAACTAATTATTAACTACGACGAGACAAACATGACAGATGATCCAGGAAAAAAAAAAGTAGTTGTGCGCCGTGGCACTAAACACGCAGAGTGTATAAAAGATACATCGAAGTCAAGCACCTCCGTTATGTTTTGTGGCACAGCATCAGGAGTTATATTACCATTATACGTAGTATATAAAGCTGAACATTTATACAATACTTGGACCTATAATGGACCACCTGGTACTAGATACAATAGGTCACGTAGCGGATGGTTTGATATGACGTTGTTTGAAGATTGGTTTTTTAGTATAGTGATGCCATATTTTCGAAAATTTCCAGATAAAAAAAAAGTAATGATCGGAGATAACTTGGCAAGTCATGTATCAACAAAAGTGATAGAATCTTGCAAAACAAATAACATTTCATTTGTACTTTTACCACCTAACAGTACACACTTAACACAACCCCTTGATGTGGCATTCTTCCGGCCTTTAAAAATGAAATGGAAAAAGCAACTGGATATATGGAAGGATAAGAATACGGGTGTTCTTCAAAAGTCTCAATTTCCCAATATTTTAAATAAAACAATGAAAGAATTAGGGCCTAACGCATCAAAAAATATCATAGCCGGATTTGAAGCTTGTGGTATAGTACCTTTAAATCCAGAAAATGTGTTAAAAAGAATTCCAAGAGAAAATTCTTTCAGTGATGACTCTTGGTTGAATTCATTTGAAAGTCATTTGGCAGAACGTCGCTTAAATGTAATATCTACTAATCCAAGGAAAAAAAGAGTGACTGTTCCAGCTGGTAAAAGTATATCAGAATTGAATACAGAAATAGTTGATACAAACAGTATCTCAAATGATATTGAAGACTTAGAAGTAGTTTTTTCTGAAGAACCAGTAATTGATAGCATTAATAGTGAACCTGAAAATAATCCTATTATTATTGTCATACCCACAACAGATCAACTTCCTGGGCCGAGTGGTAATAATAATCAAGATGATGATGATGAAGATGAAGTGTTCGATACAAAAAACCTTAGAGTAAACGATTATGTATTGGTAAAATGTCTTTATAATAAGAACTCTAAAAAAGCCAAATTTAAAACGTTCCCATGCCTTATTAAACATATAAGTAAGGGAATAAATGGTATAAAGTTTATTTGTAGTTTTTTAAGACAGTATAAAGGGAGAAGTGAAACATATGTATTTCCAAATGTTGAAGATGTTATGGAAGTATCTGAAGAGAACATTTTAAAACGTTTGATGGTAATCAAAGAACATAGAAATACATTTACTTTTAATATGTAAACTAAAAGACTGTTTGTAACATGAATTCCTAATTTATATTTACAAATTATAAGACTTATTTAGTAGATACCTAAAGAAGAAAGTTACCTGTTATTTAATATTTAACAATTATGTTATTATTTTTTAATTTTTAATGTTATTTTTTGTTTAATACTTTATAAATTGGTTAACAAGGAAGTTACCTACCTACTTAATATTTAATACTTAACAAGAATATTATTATTTTTAATTTTTAATGTTATAATTTGTTTTAATACTTTATAAATTGGTTAACAAGGAAGTTACCTACCTAATTAATATTTAATACTCTACAAGAATGTTGTTATTTTTAATTTTTTAAAGTTATTTACAAATTTTAATAATTTTTTGATTGGTTAACAAGAATGTTTTTATTTTTTTGTATATGTTAATATACACTCACCAGGTACAAAATATATTTTTTAAATTCAGAAAATTATCTAGTATTTTTTAAAAATTTAAAATAGTGCCCCAAGTTGGTTTGAGTAAATTATAAAATAGATTTTTCATAAGAAAAACATGAATGCCCCATGTTGTCGATATTCGGTACAACATGGGGCAAGCAGAAAAATAAAAAAAACACATAGAAAGAATAATTTGTATGATTCAACTGCAACAGAAATTAATAAATTAAACCTTAACTAAAAAAAAATGTTATATTGAAAATAACTGTAGAATAATTAGACTTTATTTAATAAAAGAAGTTATTTATAATAGAATTTCAAAACTGCCCCAAGTTGGCCTGGTTGACGGTGGCTAATTTTTCATAATTTCTTAATCTGATTTTTACCAAATGTGCTCTGCTAGCTGACAATTTAATTGCCCTTTCATCAAACCATGCCTGACTGTTGGACTGTTTTACTGTATTTATACAAATGTTCATGATCTTATTTTTAGACAATTTAACATTGTTTTCATAAAAAGTTTCAGTTATTTTATTTATAAAATCAGGTTTAAAAATATTTTTTTCTTGTTTTTGATTTATCAAAATCTTATTTATGAGGAATGTGGACTGTTCTAAAGTTAATGACTCTAAAACATTTTCTATTAAATTATTTAAGACTTCAGATACAATATTTTCACACTCTGATTTTTTTTCTTCATCATAGACAATTTTAAACAAAGATGGTGCTATGAAATTAGGAATTGTGTTTGTATGGGTGCACTGTGTCAACTTATCAGACTTAGGTGGAAATAGTTCCTCTATTCTTTTACCCTTACAATATTTTTCTTTTCCTGCCTTTGAAATTTTGGGTTCATTCCATTCGCATCGATCACTTGTTTTAGAATGACCACTCTCTGTATTTATATAATGTGTTAATGCATATACATGTTTGCATTTTCCACCAATACCTGCTGGACATTGACATACAGCTTCTACAACATCTCTGTTAGACCCATTAACCTATTATATAATTTAAGAACTTTAGATTATTCACTCCAACTACATTTTGAAGTTTGAACACAATTATTATTTATTTAAACAGAATATTAATGAAATCAGAAATATTACAATGAATTTACAAGACTAAATTAAACTTACTACGAGTTTCACTAGATATGGATGCAACGTAACTGAAGCTTGCCGTATAACATGGCCATTAATTTGACTATTGTTACCTAATAATATTTCTTTAACGTTTATCACATGGTGACTTTTCACCAACAGTTTTCCTTTACTCTGGACATTATCAGAAAAGCCACTACTAATAATAGATTTAAATCCTGAATAAAGAGTTATACATTGACTCATATTAAAATATCAATCAGAGTTAACATAATAATATTAATACATTACAGGCTACAGCCAATTTAAAATTGTAAACATTAATTTTCATAACAAAACACTATTATCTAGTTTCATGGGATGTTATTGATTATGGTAACTAGTAAACATACTATTATTAAACATATTTATATCTTTTAAAAATGATTAGTTATACGCAATTACTTTTTTATGTAATGTAATAAAATTATTAGTAAATAAAGTATTGATATCATATTGTACAGTGTACACTGTTGTCCCATCAAAACTTAGATTTTTGTCCACCATGCGCGCTTGAGTAGCATTCATATCAAATGCACGTCGCCTATTATGCAGCTTGTATTGGAGATAGGGAGTTTTTATTATTACTAGTTGATGACAAATAAACAATATAATATATACAAGGAATAAAGAATACTATAAATCAATTTAAAAATTACAATAGGTATTCTTATAAAATAATATTTTATCTAAGACAGATGTTCTAAATGATTAAATTAAAATTAAGTAGGTATATCATGACTATATGAGTAAAACTAATATCAAAATAATGATTAATAACGCACGTCACTTGTAATTTCAAAAATAAATATTTATATAGGTACAAAGCACATCATCCACCATGATAAACAAATACGACAATTTCAGGGAGATGACCAGAATTAGTATTTTCTTAACGAAAAGTCAAGTACACAAACAGTATTGTGAGGACCAACCATTTACAAAGCCTTTCGCAATATACTGGACCAATAAATTATTTACCTGAAATAATTTAAACGATTATAACTTAAAAATTAAAAATTTTAAATTTTAAACTAGTCAAGTAACAGTTTTAGAAGCACTTCTTAGTGTTGTATTTAAAGTTAAAATCTGTGGTCCATATTTGCACTATGCAGGTTTTATAAAAAATTTAGTGTTGTACAAAAACAGTTCGATTCGAAAATACTTATTAGTTATTACTATATTTAGAATTTACATTAAAATAGAACATTATTTTTCTGAATAATAAATAAAATCAAAATATTCACATTGTACTGGTATGCATCATTATAGCCATATTTTGGCATTTATAAAGAGTTTATTTTTATTATTTTTTAAGTACTTATTGTGTTCTATATGTATTATGATTTTATTTTCATATACCTAAGGTTTATGTTGTGCGTTTGTGACATAAATACATAACTGTACATACTACATATATTGATTAATTACAATTGTTAAGTAGGTACAATTAATTTTTTTTACAACTTTTTCAAATTATACCTTTTTACCATAGGTTATGTATTTCTATAAAAAGTTACATTATTATGTGAATCATAAATATGTTCCGTTAACACTATACTATTCAAAATTAGCATCTATATCAATAAAATTACATAAAGATAGTATAATTCACCACAAGATGGCACATAATTAAAACATCATATAGCAGCAATAAAATATCTTTAACTTAACTAGCATTTCCTTGGCTTAAAATGGAATTCAACAATTCAATAACAAAAAAATTACATTATATATTAGTCTAACACTTAAGAAATAAAGAAAAAAAATGATAAACATCAACACACGTTCAACACAAAACATGTAAAAATATACTACTAACATGCACAGTCCAATATAACTAAAGATAAGACAGACAATAATTAAATGAAAATCTCATACAGTGTAAGTATAATTCATACTCAAATATATTTACACGAAATCATCATTAATAATTTTTGGAAGCCGCCAGCTATGGTGGCTAAAAATACGTACAACACAGTTTTATAAGCACATATTATTATTTATACTAATATTTATCTATATTTCGCGTCATACCGGCATTAGTCACCTGACGCGCGTATACGTTTCGCAACATACCGGCATTAGTCACCTGGCACTTTCGTGCACTAAGTACGGTTACCCCCAAAGCCCGGGAGCTCTTGAAATTTATCTCGTCGGATAGTAAATTTTCCCGGCTTTCCGAATACCTATGTTAGGTCCTTCGACTCGTCACGGAACACTGCAGGAAAAATCAAAAACCACGCGCGCGTATACGTTTCGCGTCATACCGGCATTAGTCACCTGGCGCTTTCGTTTACTAAGTACGGTTACTTAGAAAGCCCGGTGGTTCTTGGAATTTATCTCGTCGGGTAGTAAATTTTCCTGGCTTTCCGAATATCTATGTTAAGTCCTTCGACTCCTTCCGGAACACTGCCGGAAAAATCAAAAACCACGCGCGCGTATACGTTCCGTGCCCTACCGGCATTGTTCACCAGACGCGCGTATACGTTTCACGTCATACCGGCATTAGTCACCTGGCGCTTTCGTTTACTAAGTACGGTTACTTAGAAAGCCCGGTGGTTCTTGGAATTTATCTCGTCGGGTAGTAAATTTTCCTGGCTTTCCGAATATCTATGTTAGGACCTTCGACTCCTTCCGGAACACTGCCGGAAAAATCAAAAACCACGCGCGCGTATACGTTTCGCGTCATACCGGCATTAGTCACCTGGTGCTTTCACATCTATGAAAAGAGGTGCAGGTAGGAAACAACAATGGACTTCAGTTAGTTTAGATATCAAGTACTCAAAAAAAATTCCTATCAGCGAAGCAAAGAAAAAAGACTTGAAGTATTTAATGAATTGTAAAATAATACCAAATGATTGTTATCAATTTTATAATGACTTGCCAACCACCAAAAAATGTCAACCACAAATGTCCTCAGATGATGAGGATACTGCTGATTGAAGTTCCTATTATCTATATTCTATATTTGTATTATTAATTAATAATGTTATATTTTGATAAGTTTTCATAAAATAAGTTTAATTTTTTTTTAGAAATTTTATATACTTTTTTAAAAGGTTGAATTTAATTTGTTATAGAATATATTAAAGCAGTTATAATAACAATTATATTAATATTATTCAAGTAATTGTTGTTCTTTATTGAAATTAGAAGAAAAATGTGATGTGTTTAATCATTACTTTTTACGTGTACAAAATGTGTTAAGTACAATAGCTTTTTTTAATTTTTTTTTTAAGAATACAAACGCGATAAGTGCAGGTTTTTAAAAAAAAATTTTTTTTTCTCGAGATTTGTCAATAGTAGAACCATAATTTTTAATCCTCATTACTCATTACATGTTAAGGAAAATTTAACGAAAATTTCAGTACAGTTCGTTACATTTTGGAATTGTTATAACATCTCAAACTTAAAAATCGTTCTCCTGAACAATTACGAAAATGTCACTTATCACACTTGTGCGCTACGCCATCGATATCATAACGCTGAAACTAATAATTATATGATTGGAAAAGAAGTAATCACTTTTAAAGACGATAATTTAATTATAAATGGAAAAACATATAAAGGAACGGAAGGATTATTTAGATTATTAACTCATAATTTAATTGTTCCACCAAGATGTTATGAACAAGAAGATTTTGATAATTATAAATAAATATTAATTAGTACGGATTCATTATTTCAAGGTAATAATAGTAAATCAAGAAGTGTTAAATCAAATAAAGGGGAAAAATATAATAAAATTATTGCTGATATTTGGTGGAATGATATAAAACCTTATATATCACCCAAGGAAGCTGAAAAAGGTCAGATAGAGACTGCTTCACAGGAAGAAGAAAAAGAAGGACAAGGTTTAAAAAAATATACAGAAAATCCTATTGAGTATAAATATATACATAATTTAAGTGAATTATTAAAGAGATTATATTTTATTGCTAGTGAAGAAAAAGCAGGAAATAATAATTTTCATAATGAAAAGATTGGTATTGTACATTTTTTTAGTTCTGAGTTGGAAAGATTAGCTAGTACTCCACAAGGAATTGAGTATTTAATATCTTATGTAACAAGTTATCCTGAAAAATTTGTAGAAGGATCAGGTCTTATGAATAATCTTTTAAACAGTAAATTTATGCCTGAAATACATTGGCCTGGTTATAATTATCTTGGACCTTTTACTGGTTTAGAAAAAAATTAGAAGCCAGTAAATAAACTAGATATGGCAGCAATGGAACATGATTATTTTTATAAAAAACATAAAGATATTAAAACAAGACATATTGGAGATAACATTTTGGAAGATAAAGCATGGGGTAGGCTTTTAGCCCCAGATGCATCTATAGGTGAAAAAGCAGCTGCTTATATCACCACAAATGCAATGAAAGCAAAAAGGTATTTTGGTATGAGTTTAATTTGATTTAATAACTTTTTATTTCTATTAAATGAATTTGGATTTGAGTGATTTTCAAATAAAAAAGATTGTAAAAGCTTATAAAAACAAAATTGATTTAGTTATTCAATTAAAGCATACACAGATTGGTAATGGAAAAAACAAATTTAATTTTACTGATAGACAAAATAATAAATTATCTAAAGCTAAGAAAGATAAAAAAGGGGTGAGATTAAAAATTACAAAATCTCAATTTGGAGATAAAGATAAAGTAGGTGGTTTTTTACCTCTTATCATAGCAGGTATAGGTGCTCTTAGTGCATTAGCAGGAGGTGCTAGTGCTATTGCAAATACTGTTATTGATGCAAAAGATAAGAAACTAAAACTAGATGAGACAGAAAGACATAATAAAATGATGGAAGAAAATGTTAGAAATATTAAGACTTTACAGATTGGTTCAAGTCTTAAAAAAAACAAAATAAAGAACAAAAAAAAGAAGTAAAACCATTAACTAATTTTGATATTATTAAAGCAGGAAAAAATATTAAGAATTTTAGAGGTTGTTTTACGAAAGATGAGTTACCAATAAAACCTTGGAAAAATGAATGTGGAATATTAAATTTAAATAATTCTAATCAACCTGGTTCACATTGGGTGGTCTGGTTAAAAAATGATAATAAAAAAGTATATTTTGACTCTTTTGGAGATTCCCCTCCACCTGAAGAAGTTGTAAATTATTTAGGAAAAGATGATTTATATTACACCACTGAAAAATTACAAACTTATACTGATTCACCTATATGCGGTCATTTAT